TAGGATCTATGTAGATGGCAAGACATTTTCATGACGTAGTTAATACTCAACCATACCAGCTTGTCAAAGTCTGATCCTGTCAGATCTCAGAAACTAAGCAGGCTGGGCCTTGGATGGGAGACCACTAGGAATTCCAAGAACCACAGTGGGGCGCCAGTGGCAAAAAACTGTTGTCGTGTCCTTAGGCAAGACACTTCACAAATAGCCTAGTATGAAAGTGGTGTGTGTGTGAGTGTTGGTGGTGGTCGGAGGGGCCGATGGCACAGATTGGCAGCCTTTCTTCCATCAGTCTGCCCCAGGGCAGCTGTGGCTACAGTAGTAGTTTACCACCACTGAGTGTGGAGTGACTGAATAATGAACTGTAACTGCTTTGGGTATCTTGAGAGGTGCTATATAAATGCAATCCATCAATCAATCAACCGTACTGGATGCAAAATACATAACTGCTTTATAATATATTTCATAATAATTACTCAAAATCTTAAGAATTTGCCTTCTTAACCCTAATTCAAATTTATTAAATAACTTTTACCATTACATAGAACTTACAGCACTACAGTAACTTAATCCTACTTGCCAAGATATGCAGGTTTTCAATTAATCCCAGATGTTCCAACCCAACACATTGTCTTTGTTCTGACTCGTCGGTCTAGGGGTAGGATTCTTGCTTTGGGTGTGAAAAGTCCTGTGTTCAAATCCCAGATGAGCCCACCTACTTTTAGGTGCAGTTTTCTGTAGGCATCAATTATTTTGAGCCTGCCACAACCTATCATAAATAGGCATTAGGGGAAAAAGATGTGGCTTGTTGGACTAGGGGTATGGTTCTAGCTTTGGGTGTGAGAGGTCCTGGGTTCAGTTCTCAGACAAGCCTGGTTCATCAGCAGTGTGTGTTGTTTGTCTGGTTACCGTTTTCAAGTTGTCAAGTAGTTAAAGTCAGTGGACACCATGGATCCTGCTTCCCAGTGTGTGTCGGTTTTCAATTAAGATCCCAGATGTTCCAAACCATCCAACGATTTGGAAAAAAAAAAATCTAAATTCATACCTGATTTCACTCAGTCAACTGTTGGCTACATGTGAGCCCTCAGGTGTTCTGGCTCATTGGTCTAGGGATGTGATTTTTGCTTTGACTTGAACCTGTCACAACCTACCATGAATGGCATTTGTTGTGAAAGTGTGGCTCGTTGGTCTAGGGGTATGATTCTCGCTTCGGGTGCGAGAGGTCCCGGGTTCAAATCCCGGACGAGCCCACCTCCTCTGGGGAAGGTTTATGTGGTAACAGCTGCAACAGTTCTCAGCAGACATCTTTTTTTTTTGAGACTGCCACAACCGATCATGTACAGGCATTAGGTGAATAAAGTGGCTCGTTGGTTTAGGGGTATGATTCTCACTTTGGGTGAGAGAGGTCCTGGGTTTAAATCCCAGATGAGCCCTGTTTATTTAGCAGTTTATCTGGTCACAGCTGCACTAGTCTGCCATTTTCATCAGCTAGTTAAAGCCTAGAGGATACTATGGATCCTGCTTTTCACACTATGCCGACTTTCAATGAAGATCCCAGACAGTCCAACCCAACAAACCATCTGATAACAGCTTTCACAGTTTACCATTTTCACCAAATAGTTTAAGCCTAGAATACACATTGAATCCCGATTTCCAGTCAATAACTCACACCTGATATCATTCTTGGTCATGCTTTATGTGAGCTATTCTGGCTGATTGATCTAGAGGGTATTAAGACATGATATTAAACATCTCGTAGCATGTGAAGTTGTGAAAATAAACCAAGTGTAGCCTCACAGGTTTGTCCCCTGAGAAAAGCCATAGGTTGAAACATGTCGGGACTTTGTTAGTTGTCCATTAAAGACATGCTGTATATTAATAAAGGCATTTTATTTTAATCAGTGTGCCTTGGGTTTTTTGCATCTTTGCAGCCTCACATAGTTTGGCCACTGCCGGCCAACATAAGGGCATAGCACCGGCAGGCACGCCCCCCTCTCCATGCTTTCACTTCCATATTGCCAAATTACTCGCACTTTTTATACGCAGGGTACAGGGGTAACGCCAAGCTGATGCTCGGCTTCACCTGTACGCTTGAATATAATAGCTTATTTGCCTGCATATTAGTGGGTATTTGAAATGTTTCTTGGTTTTTATTGTGTGTGTTTTTTTATATTACTGCCTGTCCCCTGCGTTGCGTGCTCCCCTGGCCCCTGACAAGCTTCAATTTCAGGTAGTTTTTAGGAGATTCTATAGGGGGTTCGTGTTATTACGGGATGTTCATGCTAACAAAATGTTTGTTTGATAGACGCTGTTGGCCATTGCTGTTTTATTTTGGTTCATTTAAGTTAGTTTTCTTTCAGTTAGGGGTTCTCGTGGGTTGGGTATTGATATTGTTTGTCTCCACTCCGATTTTAGTTATATGTAGATACCCTGTGCTTTTCCTGTGTATATTTTAAATTAATTAGTTTTCTCCTAGTGTTGGGTCAGCGCGGTCGCCCCACTTGGTGGAGGGTTGGTGACAGAGTTCCCCACTTCAGGCTCATCACTTCTCGTGTGTTGTAGTATTTTGCACGCCCTCACTTTGCACGTTTTAAGTTACCTTTAGGTTTATCATTTTGTGTGTGTGTGGTTCACGGAGCCCAGTGGGTACTCCGATCCCAGGTGGTTGCTGCCCGCATCAGGTACAGCCAGGTTATTTTATAATCCCTGCTGATTTGTATCTGTTTTTAACTATAGCCTGAACTCAATATCTATATTTTTGTAAATAAATTAATGAAATGGATTAAATTAAATTAAATTCTTTAAAACATCTCATTTCCTCATTTTAACCACCACCTGCAGTCCCTACCTGTGTTTAAGTAGCCTGCCCTTTTGGTTACACAAGGGTGCAACAGGTCTAGGGTTCAAATCCTGGATGAGCCCAGCACATCAGCGTCATGTGTTGTTTATCTGGTAACAGCTGCACCAGTTTGTCATTTTCCTGCTTTATGTCTGGCAGGTTTTCAGTTCAAATCCCAGATGTTCCAACTCAACAAACCATCCAACCTCTTCTCAATAAATTATAATTCGTACCTGATTTCACTCAGTCAGTTGTTGGCTACATGTGAGCTCTAAAGCTCACAGCTTTTCATTTCCAATCCCACACTTTCCAACTCAACAAACCATGCTTTCACTTCCCAGAAAATGACTCCACCTGATATGACTCAATCAATGGTCGTTGCTCCAGGTTGGTATGTGATTCACTGTCAGATGTTGCCCTTACCTCTACAGGCATCTCCCAGGCATGTATTTTATCTCCACTCCTGTATGCCTCAAACACTGATGATACTGTGTAATATGAGCCCTTTAATTCAGAATATTATATTTCTGAGAAAAAATTGACAAGCTGATAAAGTTACTAAGACACTAAAGACACAAAACTACTCATTTTACTTCATGCCACTTCTGAATAAACAAGCCCTGTATTAGCAGAATGTGGAATAATGTGAAAAGAGTGAAAGAAGCCCTTTTTTGTGTATATTTGAGTAAATAAAAATAAAAAAGAATAATTAAGAATAAGACAAACTTGAGCTAAATCATTTTAAAAAAAGGGGAAAAAAATGGCAAGCTTAAAAATGATGTTAATATTTGCCACTACACAGAGCTCATCTCCACAGTCTGGAGTCTCTGAAGCCTGATCTCCAGCTTTTTGAGTCTGACTTTAGATTCACATGATCCGGCCTCAGCAGCTCTGTCTCCTTTAGTGTGTTCAAGACGGTGCACCTCACATGAGTAGGTTTTCTCAAAGTCCTTCCACACTGGTCAGAGCTGCAGCTTTTCTCTTCAGTCTGGAACATTTGGACACGTTTCTGACATTTCCTTACTGACTTGAAAGCCTTTCCTCTCTTTCCCAGTTTTATGGTTTGTTTGCTGTTTGTGTGTTCAGTAGTGACTCTGGAACTGCTGTAATGTTCCACACTCATATAGTCTGTCAGAAGTGAATTCTCATGTGTCTATTGAGATTGAATGATGCAGTGAAGGCTTTCCCACACTGCTCACACTTGTATGGCCTCTCTCCAGTGTGAACTCTCATATGTATTACAAGGCAGCTTGACCGTGAAAATGTCTTCTGGCAATCATCACATCTGTATGGTTTTCCCCCTGTGTGGATCCTCATATGTGCTTCCAGTGTACCAGACTGTGTAAATTCCTTCCCACACTGGTCACACTTGTACGGCCTCTCTCCTGTGTGGACTCTCATGTGTGATACAAGGTTGCTTGACGTTGAAAATGTCTTGTCACAGACATCACATCTGTATGGCTTTTCCCCTGTGTGGATTCTCATATGTTTACAGAGGTCACTGGACTGTTTATATTCTTTCCCACACTGGTCACATTCAAATGGTTTCTCTCCTGTGTGGATTCGCATATGGCGAATGAGGGCAGCGGAGTGTTTAAATTGATTCCCACACTGGTCACATTCAAACGGTTTCTCTCCTGTGTGGATTCTCATGTGTACTTTGAGTGAACTAGAGTGCTTAAATTCCTTCCCACACTGGTCACAGCTGTATGGTTTTTCTCCTGTGTGAGTTCTGTAGTGTACTTTAAGTCTGGAAGCACTTGGCCATGCTTTTCCACACTGGTCACATGTAAACACCATTCTGTAGCTCTGCATTAGAACAAAGAAAAGAAAGTGTCAAGTAAAAATCACAAAATAAACATAAAATAACAAATACTGATTTATAAGTAAGAATGTTTCAATGTGTGTTTTACAAGGTTACATTAAGTTGCATAAAGAATCAATTAAGGTTTATTTTCTTTTAAAGAAATACTCTTTTCTGTCTGTAGCAATATATTATCGAAATAAGGTAAAATATTCAGAGATATTTAACAATCTTTTGCTGTGAATCCCACATGGACCATGGATATACTTACCAGAGTAGTGGCAGAAAGTTCAAAAAGTCCTTCAACCAACAGTTTATGGTCCACTCTGCTAAAAAGTTATGGTTAATTCTTGGCAAAGAAAGCCGTTTTTTCTGTGTTTTCTGTGTCCAGCTCTTTCTTTGTCTCTGAGCTGCTGCAGTTGGTGAAGTGTCCCTCCACTCCTCCCCACTCCTCTGATTGGACCACAGCAGCCAATCAGGAGGATCTGAGCAGCTCTTCAAAACTCACATGAGACACAGACATTACGCTGAACCACAAGAAACAGGGCAGCATTAACATAATAAAGGTGATTAAGTGTCAGTGAGCCAGGTGGATTAGTGCATGGAGCTGTGGGCTGAGGCAGAGGTGTGAAGGGCTCAGGGAGTGGAGCATTGACAAAGAGAACACTGATTTAAAAGGTAAAGACTATGTTAAGTAGAGATCATTTTAACTCCTGTATATTCACACATGAGATCAGATAGTCTTTATTATTATAATTTCACAGGTCTTTGCACAGTAGACAGGGGTCAGTTTATTTTTACTTTTTTCAATGACCCATTTGCCAAAACCACAACTATTAAAAGTGGGACAAACACTCAGGCCCCACCATAAAATCAGTCTCAATAGTGACATTTTACTTTACTTACAAACCAGAAGTCATCACTACAATGAACAAAAAATTGTGAATGACCTGTTTTCTAAAATATGCAGCTAAGTCATCGTTCACATCTTTAAGTCTGTCACATCTGTACTATCAGTCTGCAACCTGAAATGATGGTGTCAAACATAATAAACATAATTTAATCTACTATGACAACTAATAAACCTTTCCAACTAAAACAATACAAAACACTGAACTGTTTTCACAGCATTTGTCTGTTTTACTTTCAGCACTTGAGTAATTAGTAACTGATGGTCTTAATAATGTGAACTGTGTTTCTATGAAGTCACATGAACTTATGTATTGTACAGTACAGTTATGTACAGTATTATAGTATATGCAGTACAGTATACTCTATATACGTGTACAGTATTATAGTGTGTGTAGTAGTGTATACTCTACATATGTGCACAGTGTTATTGCCGTACTGTATATATAGTGTATGCAGTACTTTATACTCTATATACATGTACTGTATTATAGTAGTACTGTACTCTATATACATGTACTGTATGATAGTATATGCAGTATTGTATACTCTATGTACATGTATAATATTATAGTATATGGAGTACTGTACTTTATATACATGTGTGACTTTTTAAACAAGTTTTAAAATTTTTTTGCAGATCTCCTTTTCTCACCTGCACCTGTCAGTCCCTGTCTGTTTCAGATGCTTTACCTGTCACGAGTCTGAGAAAAAAAAAAAAAAAAAACTCTGGTTCATTTGTAAATAAATGAAAAAGACCCAAACTCCATCTCCTGTCATCTCTCCTGCACCTGTCACACAGACAGGGTTGTTCTTCACCTGAGTTGAGGGCTCATATTAGTCCGTCATTACCTGTTCAAAATCACAGTGATCCAAATACTTGTAATACCCTAACCCTAACCCTTGTGTCTCAAGTCCCATATTTACGTGAAAGTATCTAAAGATCAAACAGACAGAACTCTCCCAAATGTTCCTCTTATCAAAAAGAAAAGAAAAAAAAAAAGAAATCCTTGTTTTCAAAGACTTCACTGCCAGAGGAAGTGTCTTGCTCAAAAGCAGCCCTGTCTTGACTGACGTCGGTTTGGAGTTGTATTCCTCACTTCAGTTTCTCGGTTTGGAGGCTTCACTTTCATATCGGGCTGTGTTTACAGTGTGTTTGTGAGCCAAGTCCACTCTGGTCCGTGTCACTCAAGTTTTACTTGGTCCATCGTGTCTCCATCGTGTCTCGCTGTTCTAGCCGAGTATATTTCATCCTGAACACGCGCGGACTGTGCCATGCAGTTCTGTCAGTGAACCCACAGAGGGCGACAAAGACCACCCTACCATGGCATTACCCCTGTATTTGTTTATATGCAGTAGCCCAATTAACAGTACAGATACATTATTTTATGATGTCCACTACTTTTATACTTTCATATTTATTATTTATACCTTTGTATTGAAATTCTGATCTTGTTTTTGTATTTTGTGTTGTTGTTTTCGACCACACACACCCATACACTTACCCACCACCATGCCACACCCAGTTCCAGAAAGACTCTGTAACTGCTGCAATATCTACAATACAGTTCACTTGGTGTAGCAGCCCTCTCTGTGCCCACTCTCTGTGCCCACTCTCTGTGCCCACTCTCTGTGCCCACTCTCTGTGCCCACTCTCTGTGCCCACTCTCTATACACCTCTCTGTGCCCCTATCCCTGCCCACTTTTTGTACCCCTCTCTCTGTCCCTTTCTGTGTCCCTACCTATGCCCCTCTTCGTGCCCGTCTCTGTGCCCCTCTCCGTGCTTCTCTCTGTGCCCATGTCCATGTCCCTCTCCGTGCTCCTCTCTGTGCTCCTCTCTGTACCCCCTCCCTGCCCACTTTCTGTCCCCCTCTCCATGCCCCTCTCTATGCCCATCTCCGTGCCCCTCTTTGTGCCTGTCTCCGTGCCCGTCTTTGTGCCTGTCTCCGTGCCCCTCTTCGTGCTCCTCTCCATGTTTCTC